AGATGGAGCTGGTGGGTGTGAGGGGGTCGCGAGCTGGAGAGGGGAGCAGGGCTCCCTGCAGGCCTTGAATTGCTTGCATATAAATCAGATACTTCTGCATGTTGGTGGCTGATGTGTGTTCTCAACGGTGGCTAAACTAGCAGCAGGGTTATGTATGTAAAAATTAGCTTCATCATTATTTTGAAATACTTGTAGTGAAAAAAATCACGTGAATTTGAAATTAATTTACATTACATAAGAAATCTCAACATTACACTTACCATTACATTTAAAGCTGTGAGATTTCATAAGTATAATTTCAGCTGCATAAATTTTTGAATGTTGTGGACAGAAAGGTTTAAAAATTATCACCTATTTGTGGGGTGTTTCTCTTGGTAGGAATGTTAAAATTTTTAATAGGTTATAAGTTAAAACATTTGACAAGATTTTATTTGAAAGTTTTATACAAATTCAGCAATTATTTCCTCCAAGCCTCTGCATTTTATTTTTCTCATCAATTATATAATAAAGAAAACAATGTTTTTTGTTTTTTTTTTTGCTTCAATTCCTTCTAGTTTAAACGAGTATGCTGCATAATATTTTCTATGTGTCAGGACATGAAAAAGCTTAGGAAGCATTGATATAGACAATGTGGTGTGACTCTTGGGTATTATTCACACCTGCTGTATATTACTCCATCAGCACCATTTAATACTACTGGCTTCATAACAATCCAGTTTGGTTCATGCTATTGTATAAGCCTCAAGCAAGTTAGTTGCTGAATCTGTGTGTTCAGTCATAAGCACACTGTCCTTCCCAAGCCCCACCCTACCAGCTCCCTAACTTCTTTATTCCCAGGGTGGTGGAGGAAATGGGAAAGTAATTTTAGATATATAAATTTCATATAGTAAGCTGTGTTTTGAAAATATTTAATACGTTTGTTCAAAGATGACCTTGTACATTTCTATAAGCTGTCAGACTAACAGCTGAAACTTTCAATAAAGAATCAGTTTTAGGTAACCAAGGTGAATCCTTCATTTCACAGATGAGGAGAGTGAGGCTCAAGGAAGAGTCTGTGCTCATGTAGCATTAGAGTCAGAGCTTAGTGGAGAAAACAGAGGTCGACACTCCCAGTATAGTGCTTTACTCTATGCAACTTCATTTATACTACATATATATATATTAATAGACTTTCTTTTTTCATATGTTTTGGGTACTGTTTTGGTATTTTAAATACACAGACATGTTTTTTTTTTAATTATTTTTGGCTGCGTTGGGTCTTTGTTGCTGCGTGCGGGTTTTCTCTAGTTGCAGCGAGCGGGGGGCTACTCTTTATGGCTGTGCGTGGGCTTCTCACTGCGGTGGCTTCTTGTTGCGGAGCACAGTCTCTAGGCGCGTGGGCTTCAGTAGTTATGGCACGTGGACTCAATAGTTGTGGCTCGCGGACTGTAGAGCGCAGGCTCAGTAGTTGTCGTGCAAGGGCTTAGTTGCTCCGCAGCATATGGGATCTTCCCGGACCAGGGCTCAAACCCGTGTCCCTGCACTGGCAGGCGGATTCTTAACCACTGAGCCACCTGGGAAGTCCTTAAATACACAGACATGTTGATTCATCCAAAGGGGTTAGATATGTCCATGAAATAAGGGAGCAATAGGTCTAATGACAGTTCTTTGTGAACACCAGATTATTCCATGATGAGGCAGTGAAGAGGCAGTGTCTGGAACGATTAGGGAAGAAGAGAAGGAAGAAAGAAAAGCAGCCATTTTCTTTCTCATCAACCATAGCAGTTTGCCTCAGCAACCAAGAATGGAGATGACAAAGCCAAACTAAAGCAGTATAAGGGTTTAAGAACTATTTAGTACTGGCATACTGAAGTACTTTCTTCACCCAGTAGAGGAATTTTTAAAAATAAGAAGTTCCTATAGTCTATAAATTAAGTTTTACAATATAAATAATGTACTCTAAATGCATAATACACTTGGATTTTGTGCTAAACAGTCTGTTGTTTACTTTTAAGCTTATGTTTTGCCATAGTGAGTTAAAAAAAATTAAAACCCTCCAAATTATTCTGCCTGTAGGTTTTATGATATATTCTCAAATTTAAGCTTTGCTGCATCAGAATACAGTAGGAGCTAACATGATTATACACATTATAAGGATTACTGCAGTTTATTTAACACTAAAGGTTTTCATGCTTCATGAACAATAAAATGTTACAGTGATCACTTTTTAATGCTTTATTCATTGATTAAAAGAATATACATTTAACATAAACCATACAACAACATCAGTCATCAGGTCAAACATTCAGCTGGTTTCCTTACAGTTTCTGTCAGGAGTTATTTTATCTGATCACATTTATAAGATAAAATCTCACCACATCTGGCATTTACACACACTGTGCCAGTGGATTCACACTACTGATGTACATATAAAATCCGCATGGTATGTGCTCACTGGAGACAAAACAGTGCACACCTGTCAAAAGGTCATTTTAATATAAGATGGTAAAACCATTTGTAAAATACATATAAACTTTTTCCATAAATAGAATCATATCTGGACATTTGTTGCATAAATTGTGTTTCCAAAGCTTACACTAGAGCAGCCAGGTCTCAGCACTGCTGGGCACCCACGTTGGCTACTTACTTTATTATTGCAGACTGTCCTTTAACATTAAATGCACAACATTCGTACCACTTAAAACTGGGGTCAGGTGGAAGTCTCACAGAGACCACGTCTGTACCGCGGTTGCCCTGAAACAGTTAAGTCGGCTTTTAAAGCCTCTCAGATATAACAAGGTTTTAAAACATACTTCATGGAATGTTCTTCATGTATCATAGCAGCTCATACCTGTGATAGAACAAGCTTTCAGTTTTTCCTTTCTTTCCTTTACATTCACTATTCACAGTGAAACAGGTGCATGGTTTTTTTTTCTTTTTTTTTGTTTTGTTTTTTTTTTTTTTTTTTTTTTCAGAGTTCTGAGGTTGCTGACTGAGCCACAGCACAGCTGTGTACCACAGGTCGAAATTCGACCTTAAATATTACAATCTAGCAGTATCTGGCTGGCCAGAGTGGGCCAGCCCCTGCCAGCATGTGGGCACTTCTTCAGTTAAATCTATTCTTTGGCAGCTGACACGCGCGCTGACAGAGAAAAATCCAGTGACTTGTTGCTAGGGATTTCACGACTAATGTTTGTTTGCAAGCATGTGTGTTTACAAACTCTGTGTTTTGATATTCATTTAGGAGGTTTTACCCTGGAATATTGTTTCTTTCTTCCTCCACTATTTGAAATCTTGGCTAAAAAGCTAACTTGAATGTATGATGTAATTGATGAATTAAATTATGTCAGACATAGTTTAAAAAAATCCAATAATTTGAGTATTTGTATCGATGTAAATGCATTTAGAAAAGGATTCAGCAGTGTTCTAACCTAGTACTATACAAAATTGAGAATGGTAATTGGTGATATCAACTATTATATATGTAATGAAAGTTAAAGGCTTGGCTTTTCTGTTAAAGGTAACTCATTTGGGATTGTATTATCCTCCCTCCCATTTCAAAGAAAAATTAATGAAATGCTGTCACACAATGAATGAATGCAGTGCATTGCATACAAATCCACCAGGCTATGGATATATATCTATATATGTATAAAAATATTTTGGCTCCTGAGCTCTGACACACAAAGAATAAAAACATCAAAAGGCAGAGTAACTCAGTGAAAAAATAAAGTTAGCCAGCAACCTCAGACAACCTTCGGTTGTATATTCTTAAGGTTTGGTAACAAGTCCATTAACCGTGAAAGCCCTATACATTGTCACTTTGAGCTTCTAAACCAATACCTGACTACGTTCTTTGATCAAGAAATAGAATATACATATATAATTCTATAAAGCTAATACTGATTAAACACAGCACAAAGGGATTAATTCACACTACTGAAAAAAAAAAAACGTAATAGGACCCTACTTGCATATGTAACCACAGGAATTGTACATTTAAAAAAAGCTAAATGTCTTCGCTGAAGCTTTGCATCTCTCTGTAAAAATGACGATTTGGTTCAGTGAAGACACTGAGTGATTCGATGTCCATGATCGCATGCCAAGGTTGACCTAGGCCCAGGGATACCTGCTCAATAAGGTTATGTACTGGATCCACATCCTGGTCGGCCAGTTCACCTTGGTCAAAATCAATGCTTTCTTCAGTGACTTCAAGTACTTTTAGATCAGAGCCACGAAGACGAGCAATGGCAATGAGGTTGTGTGCCCACACTGTGTAACCTTAAAAATAAGCAAAAGAGAAGCAGTCATTTCCTTGCATTTTATTTTGTCTGTTTTATAAGTTAGTCTTTTCCACAAATTTGTATCTCACTTAGCACTTTGGGGGTCCTTTGCCTTTAAAAATATGCTGAAATTTGAAAGGAAGTATGATTGCTTAGCTCAGGGAAAAAAAGACTAGATACTTGATACTGTCTCCAAGAATATTACTGTGACTGGTGAACAGACAGGTGCTGTAATCGTATTCTGATATCATTTCAGTTAGTCAAACTGAAGACATTTAAAGTTTAAAGTATCATTTTATAGCTCCTGACAGTGTCGTATCAAAAAAAAAGTTTTATTTCGTATGTATGTATCTATTAACAATACATAGGGGACTTCCCTGGTGGCGTAGTGGTTGAGAATCCGCCTGCCAATGCAGGGGACATGGGTTGAAGCCCTGGTCCAGGAGGATCCCAAATGCCGCAGAGCAACTAAGCCCGTGCGCCACAACTACTGAGCCTGCACTCTAGAGCCCGCGAGCCACAACTACTGAGCCCACGAGCCACAGCTACTGAGCTCGCGTGCCTAGAGTCTGTGCTCAGCAACAAGAGAAGCCAATGCAATGAGAAGACCGTGCACCACAACGAAGAGTAGCCCCTGCTTGCTGCAACTAGAGAAAGCCCATGCACAGCAACGAAGACCCAATGCAGCCAAAAATAAATAAATAAAATATATAAAAATTAAAAAACAAAACAATGCATAGTAAACTGGTATTTTTCATTAGTAAAAGTCATCTCTTATGGTGCTTCACAGTCCAAAGTTATAAAGTGATACTTTAAAGATAAACTGTTAATTGTCAGTAGCAAATATGTAAAGTATAAAACAGATATGGGAATGATAGGTACTAACTTTAGAATAGTGGTTACCTCTGGAAAGGAATAAAGTTGAATAGATGGAGGAGCTTTAGCTGTAGCTACATTTTACTTCTTAATAAAAGAAAAAAGCTTTAGGAATTTGGACCTGTTACCGAGGCTGCTGTCGCCATGTTCCTGTCCGCGGTCACCTTTGTCAAGACCAAGTCAAAAACAATTCTGGTGAAAATGTTGAGCCAAGCTGGAAGAGGTTTTTCCTTCAACACTAAGAGAAGCCGACTGCGGGAGAAACTGACTGTCTTGCATTATGATCCACTAGTGAAAAAAAAAGTCCTCTTTGTGGAACAGAAAAAAATACGCTCCCTCTAAACAATGGATTGAAAATGAATTTGATTTATAAATGAGAAGACTGAGGGCGGGATACTGATTCAGAAATTCTGCAGCGTGTAATGAAAGAAGAGGAAATGGCATGGAATCACTGCCTCCTGTGATTTGAAGGCCATTGTGAAGGAAAACAATGCAGTGAAAGAAAGTTCTTCATATTAGGACATATATCATTGCATCACATTTATTTATCTTTCTGGATATTTTTATAGCCCTTAATAAAAATATTAAAATAGCCTGTTTAAAAAAAAAAAAAAAGAAAAGAAAAAAGCTTTAGGGAATTCTCTGGTGGTGCAGTGGTTAGGACTTGGCACTTTCACTGCCAGAGTCCGGGTTCAATCCCTGGTTGGGGAACTAAGATCCCGCAAGCCTCGTGGCACAGCGCCCCCCCCCCAAAAAAAAGGTTTAAAAAGACTGGCTTAAATTAATTTTCAATAACCTGCCATTTCTTCATCCTATTAAAAAAATCCTTATTTATTTATTACCTTCAATACTGATCTATTCTTTGCTATTACCTCTGATGACTGGCCAAATTATAAAGCAAAACTTGAAAAGCAAAATATATTCCCGCTCAAATGCAGCTAAAAGATTAATTCAAAAATAATGAAACAGAGATAATAAAGTATGTTTAAGATGTTCATAGAGACTTCCTATTTTGTATTCTTTAAATGTCTTATAAGTTACAGAAAGGAAGTAATATGTTCTTCTAACTTGTAAGAAGAGGAATGCTCTCCAAATGAAAACAGTTCACAGCAAGATGACAGGCCCGCCAGTAAGAAAAGAACATATCCCAGCCAAGAGAACCATCATTTAAAAAATACTGTACAAATTAACATGTTGATACCTAGAATCTAGAAGATTAGGCAGTGAGCATGAAAGAAATCATACTTTCTTCTTCCTTCTGTGTTATATTTTTAAGAGCTCTTATGATTAGAGAAAGAAATAGATCTACTGCAGGTGGATATGTATGTATATTTTCTTAGATAATTTCAAATGCCATTTTTGTGAATACCATCAGTCACATGGTAAAAGAAAAAAGTAACATGAGAGCTGGAACGAAACACTACACTTAGGGTAAAATATGACTTTCCACTTGTAAAAGTGGTATATCTTATACACGTTAAAAAGTATAAAAATCTGTATATCAACTTGTTAATAAGAGTTCTTGACAGTATAAATGCCAGTGCTATCTTTTTACTGGTATAAAATGTTTTAGGTGTAATATCAATATCAAATTATAGTGAACAAAAATCACCTACCATGAACTGCCAGAAGAGAGAGCTTTGTGCACCTCCATGCTAATAAAACCAACGGATCTTCGTTTCGGTTGTCACTAAGATCTGGAAAACCAGATGTGTCAATCACATCATTCATTAATATAAAATGAGTGAGGAACTTGTCATACTGCCTAGATATAAGATCAACAATAGCTCCTGAAACACAAGTGATGTAGCTGTCAAAATGAATCCTCTCTAGTGGTATACTGGGTTTCAGAATCTTTAACATATCTTCACTCTTGATATCAAAAGCCATTATATAGACTCGGAGGCTGGTGCTCTTTCTTGACAAGGCTTTCCAATGCTCATCATTTGGCATGTTGTCCAGAGACTTGTGCATCACGGAAACATTGTGGACCAGGAGAGAAAGTCGCTGCAAAGGCACATGGTTGTTATCGGTTAAGACTCTTGCCATCTCAGCTGTAAAGTCACAGAAATCCAGGGCAAGTGAGCGTAGATTCACGAATTGCTCCAGTTCTACTGCGGTGATAAGGGTGCTGTTACCAGGAATATTGTTGTCCAGTAAACTCAGGTGCTCCATGGTGTTGGCAATAGAGTTTGAGAGAGATGACAGTGATGTTGGGGTTACTATTTCCAGCATAAACCCACAAGACAGCCACTTCAGTTGCCTACTATTACTAAGTATTTCTTCAAACAGCTGCTGAATTCTGTAAGGAAAACACATGCCACACGATCCTGTTAAGACTTAGCTCTAATCTTTAACACTGACTTTTTTTTTAACACTGATTTTTGAAAATAGGGAATTAAATGGCATACAATGTTGAGATCCATTTGCTCTCATTAGTTAATTTCTGTTCAACCTACAAGTAATATTATCATTAAATTTCACATATAAATATAATGGGGGGCTTCCCTGGTGGCGCAGTGGTTGCGAGTCCGCCTGCCGATGCAGGGGACACGGGTTCGTGCCCCGATCCAGGAGGGTCCCACGTGCCGCGGAGCGGCTGGGCCCGTGAGCCGTGGCGGCTGAGCCTGCGCGTCTGGAGCCTGTGCTCCGCGGTGGGAGAGGCCGCAGCGGTGGGAGGCCCGCGTACCGCAAAAAAAAAAAAAAGTTATAAAATATAATGAATAAGAAGTATTAAACAAATAGATATATTAAACATATAGAAATATATTCTTCAGGTAAAGGAGCATTTTACACCAGTACGTCAGAAAAGACTGATGATTTACAATTTATGTTATAGCAAAGACAAGTAGAGTAATAACAGTCTTAAATAGCAATAATTACCCAGTAAATTCTTTGATATGTCTGAAAGATTTATGACATGGAATGGCATGTATTGATCACTGTATTTCATAGTTAAGACATTTCCAGGGTAGATGTTCTTTTCAGAAACAAGTATCATTACTCTTCTAATTGTATCTTCTAATTTTTCAGAAAAAAACTGAAATTGTTATTAATATGAGTCCCTTTCCACTAACTATATAACTTACTGTTTAATTTTTTTGCCATCAGGGTCCACCTTGCTGAGGTATGTATTTGACAAACTTCCTTGCTGCTGTAGAACGCTTATGTCTCCAAAAAGGCTAAACTTCTGGAGGTTCCTACAAGAGAAGTAATTTAAAGTAATTGTCTAAATAATTAACATAAAAATATAAATGTTAAAAATAAAAATATGCAGAAGGGATATTCTAGAGATGTTTCTATCTTATAACTTAGAATCCAATATTCTAGAGATGTTTCTATCTTATAATTTAGAATCCAATTAAGTACTTTCAGATTGCTTTTAACATACAATGAAAAGCAATGTGATACAAGAGAAATAGCATAAGCGTTAAAGAATGAGGCATAACAATTAGTTCAGAAACTCAATGTTTTAGTGACCAGGGAAAAGTCTTCTTAAAGTCTCTGGGACTCAATTCTTTATCAGTAATAATACTAGCTACATTAAAGGTTTAGGGATGAATAAATAACAAAATGACACATGAAAGAACTATTTAAGATCTAAGTTTTATATATATGTTAACTGTAATATAAAATTTCCCCAAACCAGTTAACTTAGTGTGTTAAATGCTCAAGGGTGGGGCACTGCCCCGGAGATATCGTCTCAGTAAGAAATATTCTTTAACTAAAATCTAGAGAACCTTCCCCAGTTTTATGACCAAATGTACAGCTTATCAAAAAAAATATGTAAAAATCTTTCAATTTTAGTAACTTTAGCTACAAAACATATTTTTCTAACAGTAAAATTCTAAATAAAGTAGGAGAAAGTTGATTACAGGATAAAGATTAAAAATTCCTAAATGCTAATAATAATGGTTAAACAACAAAAATTCAACTGAGTAAATTTAAAGATCAACTTGGTTATTAAAAGATTCATGGGGCTTCCCTGGTGGCGCAGTGGTTGAGAGTTCGCCTGCCGAGGCAGGCGACATGGGTTCGTGCCCCAGTCTGGGAAGATCCCACATGCCACAGAGCGGCTGGGCCTGTGAGCCATGGCCGCTGAGCCTGCGCGTCCGGAGCCTGTGCTCCGCAACGGGAGAGGCCACAACAGTAAGAGGCCCGTGTACCGCAAAAAAAAAAAAAAAAGATTCATGAATCGGGCAGCATCCTATGTAGCAAACAGAAAGGAGCTCTGCAGAGCTGTAGAAAAGGAAAGGCTTTTAAAGGTGGAAAGGGGGCAGAAAATGTAACAGGGCACTGTTGCAGGCAATGGTCACCCTCCTAAAGGGAACTGAAGGGCCTATAGGGCAGATTACCTTACTAATGCTGACCAGGTTGACTGATTACATTCCTGGGGTAGACTGAAACTGCAATTGCGCTAGGTATTAAGTCTTAGTTTGGTGACACAGGGTTTAGCACAAGTGACTCCATTTTGGGTCTGCTGTTTCCTTTTTAACATAAGCACTAGAGATTACATCTGTAACACAGAAGTTTGGGATAACTTTAATAAGAAATGTATAATCACAAGAGTGATGAAGATTAAACGAAAGATAACACTTCTTGATAGTATGTCACATTTTCCCAAATTAAGCCTTAGTTTCACTAAAAAACCTGATGATCCTAAAACTTAGCTTGAAGAATAATCATTAATTCATTTATTCATTCAACCAAATTCTCTGAGGGTCTACTAAATACCAGGCACTGTGTGCTCCATCAGAGACATGACAGGGATTAAGCGCTGTGAAGGACAAGCACATGGTGTCACATCTTAATGGGGATATCTGACACTGTGTAAGTCAGAAAAGGCTTCCCTAAATAAACTGATGAAAAACGGGACCTGAAGGAAATGTGGGAGCTAACCAGGAGAAGGAGCATGAGGAGAGGCTGTTGTAGGGAAAAGGAAAAGCATATGCAGAGCCCCTGAAGTTGAAGAAACAAAGTGAGCTTGAGACACTCAAGGAAAGGAATCTAGAATACAGAGAGTGTGAACATAAAGTGAAATGAGGTTGTAGAGGCAGACTGAGTTATATGCTAAATAAAAATTTCTGGGTTTTGCCTTCAAAATAATGAGATGCCCCCAAATGATTTTAAGCAGGAAATAATAATGATTAAATTTGTGTCTGGAAAATATTGCTGTAGCATTGGTATAGCCTGGCAGGAGGCAGAGTCTAAGTGGGGAGACTGGTTAAGAGCATATTTTAGTAATAGAGATAAAAAATGGTATCCTGAACTGGATTTTTAGTGGTAGAGGTGAAGGAAAAAAGACAGTCTCAAAACTATATTTAGTTACTAAAATGGACAGGAAAAGGTCCTGGATTAGCTATAAAGGGGTGAGGGAGAGAGAAGTCAAGAATAACTCCTAAATTTTTGAGGTTGTGTAACTGCATAGCTGGTAGAGCTTTTCATTCAGACAAGGATTCATAGAAATGAATCAGAAATTAATTAGGGTTTTGGGGGGGCTTACGGGGTGGAGGTGAGGTGGTAGAATAGTTAGATTATGAGCTCTATTTTGCACATGTT